TCATCCCCTCCCTCTATTATCTATCCCTCCCTCCTTCCAGGAGCACTTTCTCTGTAACGTGCTGATGGGGGGGGGGGGGCCCGGGGCAGCCAGCCGCCCGCCTGGGACCCCCCCCCCCCCAGATAAGAGGCTGCCCTAGCAGAGCCTGGCGCTTGGCCAGGGGAAGCCCCCCCAGGAGAGGCGAGGAGGAGGGCTGGCCGAGAGCAGCCAGTGTTGTTATCTACGGAAGCTCTCAGCCCCCCGTGTCAGCCTGACGCCCGCAGGAGGCCCGGCTCTTTGTTCCTGGAGGGCCTCCCTCCGCCTTCACCAGCGCCTGGGCACGGCGCCTGGTCTGGTCCCGGGCAGCCTGGCCGGCTGGGTTGGGCAGGGAGAAAGCCACCCCAGGACTTGCCGGCTGCAAAAGGGCTGACCTGTGGAATAGAAGTTCTCAGGGGTCTCCCTGAAGAGACGCTCAGAGTCCTTTGGGCATCACCCCAAATGGTGAGGAGGGGGTGGCTAATGGGTCTGCCCCCCACCCTACGGAAAGGGCCACCTACAGGAGAGCTCAGTGGCTGGCCCTCCTCCTCCTCCTCCTCCTCCTCTGCTCCGAATGAATCTCTCGCCAGGGACCCCCTACAGCTGTGGGACAGAGCCAACCTCCGTGGCCAGAGGAAGAGAGACCCCTCAATCAGAACAGTCAAGACAGTGAGGACAATAGACCAGTGGAAGAACCGGCCTCCAGAAGTTGGGGATGCTCCAACGCCAGAGGTTTTTAAAGAGATGCTGGACGACCCTTTGTCTGAAGTGGTGTAGGGTTTCCTGCCTAGGCAGAGGGTTGGACTGGAAGACCTCCAGGGTCCCTTCCAACTCTGTTTTTCTATCCTATCCTATCCTATCCTAATCCCCTCGCTCCTACCTACACCCCCACGCCCAGCTGCTCCTGTGCGTCCTCGTTAAGGCAGGGGGTGCCCAACCTTGGCCACTTCAAGACCCTTGGACTTCAACTCCCAGAATTCCTCAGCCAGCTATAGAGTTGGAAGTCCAGAGGTCTCAAAAGTTGCCACGGCTGGACAGCCCCCCCCCCCCCCGCTTCAAGGCATTCCTGTGACGTCGTCCCAAGTCTCTTGGCCAGTACCTCTGCACTAAGGGAGGAGACCCCCAAAAGACCCCCTGAAACACATTCGCCATTGGCAAGCCCTTCCCTATTGCCCGGCCAGCTGTGTTGCATGAAACGCCTTGCCAAACCGTTTGGGGGGGAAAAAGAATAATAACAACCCCAGGCAATTGCACAGAGTTTCAAAACAAACAATTCTGTGATGATGAAGGGGAACAAGTCACGCTGCCCTGCAACAGGCTCCCTCGAGGGAGGGGAGAAGCGGTCTGGAGGCGGCAGAGTCAGAGGAAAGAGGAAGACGGCGGAGGAAACCGAGGCCCACGAGGGGGAGGAGGGCAGGGGGCCCGGGGCCGGAGTCTCATCGGCTTTAGAGAAACTCCCTTTGTGGGAGAGGACCGGCTGAGCCCGAGGGAGGGAAGGGTCAAACACGCCATCAGACTCGAATCCACTCGTGCCCACGAGAGATCGACACCCAGCCCACCTTGACTTCCATTGACTCTCATGTGCTGCCAATTCATTTTGACTGTGAATAGTTGAGATTCTTGGAGAGAGCCTAAACTTTAGGCAATAAAACTTCATATTCACTTGAACTGCCCGGACATCCTAATTTTCCCACGCACTTTGACATGGGTTCCTCTTTCTGCAGAGGCCAAACTGGCTCAGTGGAAGAGAATTTTGGTAGCTCAGGGTTGAACCGGGGGTGGGGGGGGTCCCTTGGCAGTTTCCTTGAAGGCCCAAATTAAGTCATTGCTGGTGCCTGTATGGTGTCGTAAGTCACATTTACACACCGAAGGAAACGGAAAGAGCAGAATAAATCCTTTCCCGCAGCCCATAACCAGATAAGCAGGGATTAACACCAGACAAACAGTCCTCATCAAGGAATGATGAAGGCCAAACCACACCCACACGACTGCCTACGAACAAGATGAAACCCCATTCCATTCTAGCACCGATGATGTTCCCCAGTTGGGTCAAGAACCAAGGTCAGAGAGCACGAAGGACCCCACAGTCCTCCTCTTCCTCTTCCTCCTCCTCCTCCTCCTCCTCCTCCTCCCTACACACCCCTCCTCGCACTGATGACGTTTCCCAGTTGGGTCATGAAACGTCTGCAAGAAATCCACCAAAACTCACGAGAACAGCAAGGACCCCCACAGCCAAAGTGGGTAAGCTAAGCTCCCGTGGTCACAGGTTGCCAGAAGTTGGGGGGGCGGTGTTGGACTAGATGACCTACAAGGTCCCTTCCAACTCGGATTATCTGTTAACAAAACCGCTGGAAAGCTTTGCTGTGTGGACTTGGAACCAGCAGACTTTCCCGTCCGTTGCCCTTTCTTTAAGGGGGGTGTGTGTCTCCATCTCTTCTTCTCGCCCCTTCTCAGCGCTTCACTGGGGCCCCCGGGCGCCAAGCAGCCCTTCCCGAAGCCTCGTTCTGCAGTCCCAAGCCGGCCCGCCCTTTGCTGGCAGGCCCCGGCCCTGGGTGCCCTCTGGCCTTACCTTCCGACGCCTTCCAGGCCTTCCAAAGATCTTCCACGCTGATGAGCTTGTCCTCCCCGTGGAAGGTGCTGTGCTTGATGGTCGGGTCGTGGTAATTCAGGTCTTCCCGCAGGAACTGGGAGAGAGAGAAAGAAAGAAAGAAAGAAAGAAAGAGAGAGAGAGAG